ACATTTACAACAAAAATTACAAAGAAAAAATGTCACTTTTTTTAAAATTAGGATATGAGTCCATTGTTTCGTATTTTAAATTGCAAAATATAAACCATTGATAAGAAACAACCTCCACTATCAAGACCTCTTTCATATCCACTAGTTTAAGTTATAACTATATAACACTTTTTTAAAAAGGAATTTGAGAGATAAAGATAACTAGTGAAGTCGATACACTCGTCATGATTTTAGTGCACTTTACTACCAGAAAAACGCCATTACCTTCATATATATTCAAGTAATAAATCTCAAACATATAGAATGTAAAACACTAAAAGTTATGAATTCGAGTTAGACATAGTAATCCACGATAAAAGAAAAGAAGAAGCATAAAGCATAGATCAATATAATGGATTGGGATGATACCTTCGGCTTACAAGGTCTTCCACTCCCAGCTGCAACTGGCGCCATATATGCTTTTAGCTGAATTAAGCAGATATGCAGAATTCACAATTTAGCAAGAACAAGTAGATTAGAGTACTTGAGTACTGCTCTTATGCTTTTGATGAAGGGCTATAATTTTGGCCCAAGAGGTACCTATTAATTTATACCTGATCATGGCTCGGAGAACAACGAGACATTCAATGACTTGATCAAAAGACGAGAAAGAGATAGGAAGAGAGTGGGAAAGATCGAGGAGATGACGAGACACTTTAATTCAGTTGGTCATTCTGACGTGGATGCTCAACTCCTTGATGCTTTTTAAAGTCTTTGTAATTTAAAATATGAGGCAATGAAGAATAGTTGGAGCCATTATCGTTCGATACCCACGAGCTTTTGTTAATTAATTGAATCTTTGCGCAAGATCAAAAAGAAAAGACTATTGTGTTTTAAACTTTAACTTTAGTATTTTACTATCTAAACTATATCAAATTATAAAAAAAAAATAATTAGATGGAGGTAACACAATATTAGAGGCCTGTGTCTGATGAGTGTTAGCATATTAAGTTCACATGTGATGTAGAGTTAAGAGATATTCATAAAATCTCATATTGAAGCTTAAACCTAAATGTCTCAATGCACAACCCTAGTGGAGTTGAAACAAAGTGTTCTGGTGCATAAGATCCGTTCCAAGCTTAAACGCATTTGTCTTGATGTGCAACCCTAGTGGCAAATCATGAAAATGTAACCAAAATGAATTTGAGGTGAAGTTGTACTACTTCGGTGACAAGGTTCGATCAAATCACCTTAATATGATCAAAGAATTATTGAACTACCAAGGCACGCTCATTAGGATTTTGTCTACATCAAACTTGTTAGTAAGCTCAAAAGGGTATAGCTCTTCACCAAATTTGCTTACCTTGAAGCCATTTTGAGGACTCAAAAAGGATAACATGGAATTTTGTAGTCCTTTAAGGTTGATTCAAACTTCTTGTCTACATGGCATTCATTAGTGTCTTGTCTACATCAAACTTCTTCTTCAGTCAACGGTATGTTGCCTAAGATAGAGCAAAGTGCCTCTTCTTTGCAAGGCAATGCTTATCCTACTACCTACAAGGTTGGTTGTTGGCGGGAACCCTTGTTGTCATAAGGAGTCCAAATAAACCCTAAGTTAATGGCCAAAAGAAAGCCCTAGTAGAAAGATATGCCAAGTGAGAGGAT